GGATGGATGGATGGATGGATGGATGGATGGATGGATCAGCTGATCACTGGCTGTGCACGTCTCCACGCCTGCTGTCATCTGCAGTGAAGGAAGTAGAAGCATCTACAGCAGAAGCGAGCGGCGCGTTCAGTTAAAATAGCCTTGTTCTATATTTTTCCAAATAATTTTGCTCTAAAATATTTTTGTTAATCTGTATAATAGTCTATCTTTACAGCTGATTTTTTTAGGCTATTTGTTTTGTATGTTAATATCCATTTGGTGAAACAAGAAATCTTATATCTTCCTTTCTTTGAAATGTGTTTTTACAATATTATGTCAGACTGATTTGCTCACAAAAGCAGCAAAAGCTTAATAAAAGCAATGTTGGATTATTATTTTTTATTTTTTGGTTTGGGCCTGTAATTACAGTTAATTTGATCGGATCGGGGTGGGTTCGGGAAAAAAATGGCTACAGGCTGGGGCGGGGTTAGGTTGGATTTTTTTAGGCCCAAATGCAACTCCACTTTGCTCAGTGGTTTTGTTTTGTGCAGTCCTGCTAGAAACAGCTAAACCTCCTGTGCAATAAAACCATCATTTATTAGTACATTCAAATCAAGTTAACACAAAAAAATTCAAAATGAGTAGAATTTTAAATTGTCTGAAGAAAAGTAGATTAATAAGAATGATATTGATCTGGTAAAGTTTCCATTTAATGTATGAAGTAACATTATTTTAAGCTGCAAACCCACTTTAATTGCATTTATATCTGAAAATAATCCTAACTTTGCATTTCCAATTATTCTGAGCAGCAGTCCAGCAGCCTCGCGCTGCAGAACAACGTGCCTGAGAGCATTTTAAGACTGCTCAGAAATAAATTAGATCCATCAAAGAAATGTCAGGGATTGTGTCGAGGCTGCATTTTACGCTTGTTGTTGTGTTAATGAAATGCAAGGATTGTTTTTTTTGTTTGTTTTTTGATTTTCGATAACATCAGATTGCTTTCAAAACATGTTGTTTCATTAGCGTTGGTTTCTGAGAGAAATCAAAATGCGTCTATTCCAATTCTGATCGCAAGTGAACACAATAAAATAAGCTCAGAGAAGGTTTGGGAAAAAATGATGAAGAGCTTGATGCATCCATCCGACCACCAAAAATCTAAAATCCTAATGTGACTGAGCGTCTACAAGATGCTCTGACTAGAGCCACCTTCAATTGTATCGACTACAAAAGTGCATTACTTTCTGCAAGTTTCATTAAAATAAATCCAGTGGTTCAAGAGATATTTTAGTAAGAGACCCCCACACACACATAGAAACACACATATACACAAACAGTTCAATTCAGTCTATTTATACAGCGGCAAATCACTACAAGAGTTGTCTCAAGACACTGAACAGAAACATTCACATGCACTGTTTTTGTCTCCCTAAAAGCTTCTTTTTAGATTTAACCTTTAGGATTTGAGGCTTGTAAAATTCAGTGCCTGCTCACTTAATTGTTAGGCTTCTTGATCTGGGACCCGAGTCCGAATTTCGTACCATAAACATACAAATGCAAGCTGGTATGACAATTAAAAAACCCTTGACATGTAAAGTAATTTAATAAAGTTATTTATCTAAGGCAATGGGTTCCCAACACTGGTCCTTGAGGAACACCATCCTGCATGTTTTAGTTGTTTCCCTGCTTTGACACGCATGATTTGAATGAATTGGTGATGAACAGGCTTCTACATAATGTGGATGAAGTAGTCAAATCACTGAATCAGGTGTGTTGGAGCAGGGAAACAACTAAAACATCTAGGATAGGGTTCCTCAAGGACCAGATTTGGGAACCACTAAGGAGCCAACAGATTGCTTTGAGTTTTCACTTTATCGCAGTTAGGGATGCACGATATTGGATTTTTGGCAGATATCCTATATGCCGATAGGTTAATATTTATTTGGCTGATAACCGATACCAATACTGATGTTTTTTTCCCCTTGACCTACTTACAGTGACTACATAGCTTTCTCTGCTGTGGAATTAAAATACTACATTATTTTGCATGGTCTTTGTCTATTTGGTCTGCTACCAAAGGCAGATGTCAAAAAGGTGGCTGAAAATGATGCAACACTTCAACTTGGATTATGTTTAATGCTAAATTTATTCATGACATTTACTCTCTCCAACACAATGACAACACTCGAACAGCGCAAATTTGTAAATTTTCACAAATCTAAACTCAACGGCACGCATGACGTCATAACGTTGTGCTGGCACTGCAGGCAACCTTGTCACTGGTTTGTCATACAAAAACAGCGCCCACCTTTTAGATCGGTGAGTTATTTTGATGGAGTGGCCGATGTCCGATATTGAACTTTATCACTAATATTGGTCGATACCGATACCATGCCGATAATATCGTGCATCCCTAATCGCAGCCTCCCATCCTAAGCTAGCACAGAAGCAACAGTGGAAAACTGCCTCATGAGGAAGAAACCTCCAGCAGAACCAGGCTCAGGACAAGTGGCCATCTGCTTCGACAACATCAAAACGATTGTCTGTCTTTGCCTTAAAGCAACAGGAAATAACTCGGAAACCAACAGAACCAAAAAGCATTTAATCTAGTCTTAATCCAGGAGCAACAACATGGGCTGATGGGTCAGAAGTAAATTTGCACATCACTGTTTAAGACAAATTGACTGTTAGTTTTGTTTTTGTCTCCCTAAAAGCTTCTTTTCAGACTTAACCTTTAGGATTTGAGGCTTGTAAAACTCAGTGCCTGCTCACTTCTAGGATTAAATCCAAACAAGAACTAAAACTAAACTGAGCTTTTTTTTTTTGTTTGTTTTTTTTACACAAAAGAAACAAATTAAAACCAATAAAACCATGTCATGTTTAATAAGGTAGACTCACCTTCAGAAACTCCAGAAAGGCCGGTTTGGACATGCATGCCTTTTTAATGAGCGCCATGGCATTGGTAAAGTTGTTCACATAATCACTGTACACATCCAGCACCATGGACTTAGAAAACTGTAAGAAAACAGTCACACAAAAAACATTATACGGTTGCATAGTGCTCCATTATGTTTGTTATGTAGTCAAGTAATTCCCTACAATACAATTTTTAGATAATTTTAGAGAAAAGGAAGCAAGAATTGATATGTAAATTCTTATAGTGAATAAAAAATTATTTGTTTGTCGCTCTGGTTGCTTAAAAAAGGTGAAAAAATGGCCCTCGTGAGTCGTTTAGGAAGTTGGACAAAGAGGAATGAGGTGGAAGAGTGTGTGGGAGTGGAGGTGTGTGAGTCTGTTGTGTGGTAAATATTTATTATCTTCCCTTAATAACACCTTGGCCAGTCAGCTGATAGCGACAATGTGAGGAGTAATGGGAAACCGGCAACTTACATGAAGGAATTAACCCTCTTTTCTCTCGGTTTCCCTCAGGACGCTGCCTGCTCAGATAATACCGTGAGCCCCGCAGGTACAAACATGCTAGCAAGTGAAAAAGGGGGCACACTAATAGGGGGCTGTGCATGGCTCCAATGTTTTCATTGTCAAATGCAGCTTCATTGGATTGTACAGTAGGCTTCAGAGTATAATAGCTAACACAGAGGAGAGTCTAACAAGCTCCTCTAATAGGCAAATAATAAGCAGACCTTATGAATGAGCCCAATTCAGAGGCTCACAAAAGAAACCTCAAATAAACACTGCTTTATTATTTCTAAAAAAATGTGACAACATCCATATTCCTGAGAGCTCCAGATGCAGGGGAGATATTTATCGTATCTGTAATTGAGTCCTTGTTTGGGGTAAACTATCCCTGTTTGCTCATCAGAACTGTGCTAACACAGATTGTGGTGTGGGGTTTGACAGAAAAGGCAGGAAAAAATGGGACTGCATCTTAACAGAATCCAAGTATTTGATTGCATTCAGACACAAGGAAAAAAGTAAACACCAACATTTGCATTTACCCACACATGCATATATAAGGCAGGCAGTGATTTTCTATTTCAGTTCTGTTCAACAGGTATAGATTATATATATATATATATATCCTTATACTAACCGAGGCGACAAATAAGTCTCCGATTTTCTCGTTGCTGTCCCACTCTGCCACACGAGATGCCAGTGCAATCTGAAACATGGAGTGGCACTGTGTAATCTCTCTGATTCGGTAGAAAATGGGTCGGATCTTCCTTGTGCTCAGAATGCGTGGGTCGCCTTCCATCAACGTTTTGTGGTACTCCTGATGAGATTGTCACAAAAGTTTTTGGAGGGGTCATTGATAACTATCAGTTGAAACATATATAATAGGGGTGTAACAGTACATGTATCTGAAGCGTGACGGTTTGGTACAGACCTTTGGGAAGGGTATGGGAAACTAGACGGCAAGTACATTAGTCACAGGTGAGTGCCGGTCCCAGAGCAGGCACATGTTTTGCTTATCTACATTTTGTTAACTGGCATGACAGAAAAGAAGCAAAGGAAGATACTATCTGAACACTTCGCATTAAACTAAAAAAGAATGGTTTACATGCAGAAGTCTAAAGACCGGCCCGTTTGTTTCAAATCAGCTGCATGGAAAAGCTCAGAAATTAGATTTATTGTGGACTGCTGCAGCCGAAGGGGAGACTAGAGGTACAGGTATGGCAAGCAGTTGCATCTAGGGATGCACAATATTGGATTTTTAACCAATATGCTAAAACTTATTTGGCCAATAACCAATTTTTTTTTCCCCAGACCTATTTACAAGCAACTACATAGCTTTCTCTGCTGTGGAATTAAAATACTACATCGTTCTGCATGGTCTTGTCAATTTGGCCTGCTACCAAATGCAAAATCCAAAAAGGGGGCTGAAAATGTTGGAACACTTCAACTTGGATTATGTTTAATCTCAAATTTATTCATGACATTGATTCTAAAACAATGAAACAATTGAACAGTCATACAAAAACATGCCTTGTGTGTGTATATATATATGTATACATTGTCTTTTATATCTGTGAGTTATTTTGATGAAATGGCTGATGTCCAATATGTAACTTTATCGCTAATATCGGCCAATACCGATACCACGGCGATAATATCGTGCATCCTTAGTTGCATCATAGAATCATCACATTTGTGGTAGTTGTTTTAAAGTGACATTACAAGGCAACAAATCCTACCTTGCTGCTATCCCTTAGAACCTGCACTTGCAAGGATTCTCTGTCTTTGCTTCTAGACGAGATATTGTCTATTCAAAAAAATAACTCTTACTTGATAATTGTTCTTCTTTCCTGTTGTACCATACCTGTACCAAAGGGTGACTATCATTCCACAGTAAGTACCAAACTGTGACTTAGCTCTTAGTCGTACCATTACACTCCTAATAAACAATGTTCAAAACTCTCAAATGCATTTGATACGGGGGTGTACAAACCGTTGAACATGACATGTTTGAATCGAAACACACCAACAGTTAAATCACAGGAGCAACAGTGTTGGTATTTTTCTGTTCATGTCTTTTCTTTACAGATCCAACAGTGAAATAACTGTGGGCATTAAAAAGAGTCAGAAAGCAGCGCAACACAAACAACTGTGCAGCTACATTTAAAGTCTGGAAACAGAACATTCACTACTTGGCTGGACTCTGTGTCACAAATGACATTTTAAAAGAACTGAACCTCACCAAGTAACATGCTCATTAATGTCACTTGACAACAAAGCAGCTCGCCGTAGCTTGACGGTGAAAAATTTGGAGGCGTGCAAGGCAGCCATTGATCGCAGTTAATTCCATTTCAGTAGGTGCTCCTCTTATTTTTCTGTGATGATGAGATAAGAGGTCTCCTTTTCCCTTCTAACAAGACAGATTAAAGAGGAGAGGCTGCACCCCATCCTGCACAAGCCTGACAGCCTCTATTTCTTAGCATCAGCATGACGCCCCCAAAAAAGAAGGCTCGGCTGTTTTATCAGGATTATTTATGCAGACACCTTGATAATTTGATGGATATCTCTGCCTCTCTTTTCGCTGTGATTCATATTGGCTAAACTGTGAAGATATTGCATGTGGCAGAGGAGGACAAGGGGACTAAGCGGCTCACCTGCAAGATCCTCCTGAGAGACTCCAGGTAGCTCCGCTCGCTCTGTATGATGGAGCTGAGGATATGGCGCCTGACAACCTGCGCAGACAACAGATCAGTCAGGAAATCTGGCTCTTAGAGGACATGATTGGGCTGTGCTATGTGGCATGCTTTCACTTAAGCACGGCGCAGGTTGATGGATTACACTATAATCACGCGTTAGTCACAGGAGGAAAAGACTCAGAGAGGAGTCGGGTGTGTTTGAACGAGGCCTCCGTCGGAGAGCTGAGTAACTGCATGCGCTATGACAGGAAAGCAGCTGCTCCGATATAAAACATGCTACGTTTTCAAACAGGATAAAGAGTTTAAATCAAATAGATATTAACAGTTACTGGAGAACAAATGACTGCTTTAACAGCCTGAAGTCTAATCCTAAGGGTAATGACCATTTATGTTTCAGGCGAAGGAACGCCAAAGAAAAGCATTGATGGTGAACACAGTTCGATGGATCTTTAGGCTTGTGTGTGTGTGTGTGTTCCCATGTGATTAGTGCTGACTGGAGCTGGAGGCAGCTGGCCACCATCTTTGGAATAGACTTTTTTTTTTTTTTAATCAACCTCTTCCTGGAATCTCCTCGTTCTATTTTCCTACTAAAACATCTTGGGAATTGTGTTTGCTCCTTCTATGGTTCTGTTAAAAAAAATGACTTTGCCAGATTATTTCCTGCATTTTAGTTTTTGCCAGATTATTTCCTGCATTTTAGTTTTGATTGTATCAGTTTTATTTAAAGGCCCAGCATTCCTTGAAGTTACGCATACTGCATGCACAGTTTGAGAGAGAACAGACAATTTTAGCTGTTTTGATCCAACCATGAAAATATCATTATGCACATCTCAGAGTACACGTTTGTGTATGACTCGCGGCTACTGCCACACTAAATATTAGCACAGTATCTGTAAAATTCATTGATGCGGAACATTTCGTGTGTAAGCTAAAGTCTTGTTTTGTTGTTTTGGTAGCCGTTACGAATTATTAATTATTATTTAATTGTTAATTATTGAATAATTATTAAATAGGTAGACATTTATCCAATTATTACTAAGAATTTAATTAAAACCTGCCCAATGTTCCATTAGAAACTTTGCTAACAGACAAACAGGGTTGACTCCAACAAGCAATGCTACAGTTTTAGGCAAAGATTTCACAACATGTGTAAGACGAAGTATGTATGTGTTGTAAATGACTCTAAACTACAAACACAGTAAGTTTTAGCACAATATCTGCTGAAATGACTTAACTATAGTACATTTTTAAGCTTTCTAATGTTGACTGTGGTGTCCATCTTGAACTGAACTGGTTCCAAAAATAAAATCAAATTTGAGGTATGCATTTCCAATTATATCCCCTTCTTTAGAGCCACTGTTGCTAAATTGTCATTTAAGCATCAAGGTGTTGCGTTGTGGAACACTTTAAAATAACTAAGTGAATCATGTACAATATTATCTGCATTTAAAAGAAAGTTGAAACAAAGTTTATAGTTTTTTTATTATTTTATTTTTATTATTATTATTAATATTTTTGGACAGTTTAAATTTATTATGAGCTATTTTATTTTGCATTTGTGTGTTTGTGTGTGTTTAAAGTAAGATGTAAGGTTATGTGCAACGCTTTTATGATTTTTGCTTTTTTTATTATTTTATTATTATTTTAGAAGGCGGGGCACTTGTAAGCCCATTTTGGTTTTTTATGACCTCTCCTGCACATTTTGTTTTTATCTTTTCCTTTATGTGTTTTGTTTCTTTTGTTTTTGTGCAAACAACATAAAATAAAATACATTATTTTTTGGATTTTCTTAAAAATTCACCAAATAGTTTATGAGACATATTCAGCTAACAGGTAGCATTAATTGCTAATAGTTAAAAGCGAATTTTAAATAAAACGTGCAATCACATCAAATTTTAGATCAATATCTGTAAAAGTCGTTGAGTTAAAGCTATGCTTTGTGCTTTTTAGGTCACGTAGCTGTGGCGGCCATCTTGATTTGAGCTGACTACAAAAGCTGAAGACTTTTTTCAAGCTTCATTAAACTTCACCAGTGGTTCATAAATGTTGGTAATCGTAAGATACATATACACTTACACACATCAAAACACACAAACACGGGCAAAATAACTATTATTGTTCTTTATCTTTTTGCAGTGGGCGATAAAGTTGCGTTTTGTTAAATATCAAAAATAGTGTAATAGTTTAAATAGTGTCTCTTTTTTGTTACAGTCAGAACATATTTGTACATTTATGACAGCACCACTGACAGGTTTGGGTTTGACATACGCTGACATGGACTTAGAGAAGTTTTCATCCTAAAACAATATCTGGCTACACTTTACGAGTATTTTAAAGATTATTATTTATATAAAAAAAAAAAAAATGAAAGCACTGTTTTTGTAGGCAAAGACTGGTAAAGCAATTTGCCTGGAGTCAACATCTGTAATAAAAAATGTTTTGATGCAATAAAAAACAAAACTGTGATAAAGTAGGCCTCCAAATGTTGAGCAGTCAAACCTTAAAAGAATAAATAAATTGTTTTACTATAAAGAGTGCATTACCTGCTGTCCTCAGTTTGACAACTCTTCATTACTTTTGTTACAAAGGTAATTTATTGTAAATGTTAGCCATATTGAAACATGAAATAACAATCTGTTATTTTACTTGTGAAAATAAAGTGAAATCCTTGTAGAGCTGCTGTATCAAGACCTGCATCCATATAATGAATTTGCCAAGTTAAAAAAAAATCTGTCACAAATGGTGGAGAGGTGATTGTAGCATAATTTCATCCAATTCAGTTTACATATATATTGCCAATTCACAATAAAGTCCTTTCAGGGCGCCTCACAGAAACGCTGTCCTTTAACTTGAACAGCACTAGAATAAAGCTTTAGGCTGTTTAATTACAAGATATAAACACAAGAAACAGAAGAACTTTGTTTGTTGTTAAGATTTGGTTTTGTACCAAAACTGCTTGTGTTTGGGTCCAAACAAACCCTTTCACAACTTTATGTTCAGATGCTCTATTTTCAAGTTGCTAAGTAGACAAGCCATTCCCTCAACAAAACACTCAAAGAAACGTTGCAATTTCACAATTTTACAGCGTTTCTCGTAAAACTGCCGGGTTCTAAGCTGTGAACCAATGTAGCTATTACATATTTTCATGTGTGACCGGGCTGCTGTCAGCTGCACCTGGTGGTTCGTCAGCCCCTCTGGCATCGGGCTCAGCTGCGGGGGAGGATGCTTCACGTCTGACACTGCCACATCCAGGTACCCAGCATCATCCTCTTCCTCTGTAGATTTCAGAAATGGGAAAAAAAGGGAAGCATACAGAGCGGTTTAGGAACGTTTGTGTATGAATGAAGGTGTGCGTGCGTGCATGTGTGTGCGTGCGCATGTGACAGAGAATGTGACAAGGACAGAGAATAACAGAAAGGCAGCCTTCGGATCTCAGAGCAGCTGGAGACACACTGCGACACGCTAAGTTTATTACCACTAAAATGTGAAGAAACTTCTGAACTCTTGGAAGAAAACAGAAAAAGACAGAAAGGAAAATATGTGGAATAGAGGAGGGGGAGAGAAAAGAGACAGAAGCAGTGAAGTCTTTGGGAAAATAAATTCAAGACAATACTGTATCTATGTAGGAGTAACACAAGCACAAAGTCAATGCAACACATTCTCATCTCTGCATTGGCACAAAGACATACGACACTTTGGGGGGGAAAAATCCCCACTTTATCCATAACCATAAAGATGTAGACAGCAGACGCTTCCACTGTTCTAATTAAAGACTTTGGAATGATAACAGAGGACTGTTGGAAAAGAAACAATGCTGTGTAGATTTCCCTCGATCAATACCTAAAAATAGCAGCTCTGTCCTCTTTACCCCCCTGTGATGGCTCGGAAATTCGTTTGAGGGGTAAATATGGTATCTACGACTTAGGAGGTTGCTCAGCTCTTCATTAATAGATACTAAACTCTCTCGACTATTGGGTGAAAATTCCTAAAAAGCAGCCTAAATTAGGGGTGGGCAGTAAGAAGATAATAGATCACGAAGGATAAAAATAAGTTGACAATCTGCAAAAGCAGAGAGATCATAGGATCACCTACAGTCCATATTCTTTCTATCAATGTGCCATGCTTTGTTGTGATGCACACTTTGTTTTGTTCTTCCAGTCACATTACACAGTTGGATGGTCCCCTTTATGCCTGCCCTAGAGAAACGGCAATCAAAACTTGTTTACAATGGAGCATTAGAGCCATGCAGACACAAAACAGGAGTACCGTATACGGCGCAGTATGCACTGGTTGACAAACTGCAATACAGCAATCTATAGCAATGGCCTAGACAAGCAATGACCTTATAGAACATTTTGCATTGATTTGTGACCTTGTTCTTGAAACAGGGGCGATGAAATTGGGTATGTGGCACTACATCTAGTGATGATGTAGATGTGTATGAAGTTTCTTTAAATTATCTTGAGTGGATCAGAAGTTATGGACAAGGCAAGAAATGACTGTTTTAATGTTGACTGTGATTTGTGACCTTGACCCTGGGGCTGGGGTGATTAAAAGTGTATGCAACACTCCACCTAGTGATGATGCACATGTGTATGAAGTTTTGTTAAATTATCTTGAGCAGATCAGTAGTTATGGGTGGGACAAGACAACTTTTACCGAGGTACGCACAGATGGACGAAACTATCCTATATTGGACATTTGTCTCATTTTTATTTGCCCACCTTGGACGGGTGTACAAAAATGAGAATATTGATGGAATTTTTATTGTATTGAGGTTTTGAGATTTAAGTTAAAATGGCTAGATTAAAATGTAAATTTTACTGAAAGAACAAAGTTGCAATGTTGAAAAAGAAAGGTGTCCTTCAAAACTTGGGTCAGAGGAAGTGAACCCCACTGTGCTCTTGAACCCAACTTGTTTTCTTTGTTGTTATTTAAGTCCTCTTGGCATCATAATGCCATAATCTCCAGGTCTCACTGAAGCGGTTCACAACAAAGTGTAAAGCGGCTGGGATGAAGATCAGCACCTCAAAATGTGAGGCCATGGTCCTCAGTTGGAAAAGGGTTGATTGCTCTCTCCAGTTTGGGAGTGAGGTTCTGCCTCCTCCTACCCTCATCTATGGTCCTGAACTTTGGGTAGTGACCAAAAGAATGAGCTCAAGTTCAACTTGTTGGATACAAGCATTCAAAATGAGTTATTTTTCTAACTTTGTTCGGTGTTTCCCTACACTTCCATAGTGAAACACCTCACTCTGTTATCAAAGAACCAGGGTTATGTTAAGTAACCTAACGTTTTCTTGGCAAGGTTGTTGGACTCTCCCTTGGAGATAGGATGAGAAGTTTAGTTATCCTGGATAGACTCTGAGAAGAGCCGCTACTCCTCCACATCGAGAGGAGCCAGTAGAGGTGGTCTGGGCATCTGGTAAGGATGCCCCATGGATGCCTCTCTAGCGAGGTCTTACGGGCATGTCCAAATGGGAGGGACATCTCCAAACCCGGGGAAGAACCCAGGACACGATGGAGAGGCTGTGTCTCTCGGATGGCTTGGGAACACATTGGAGTCCTCCCAGAAAAGCTGAAAGAGGTGACTGTGGAAACAGATGTCTGAGTCTCCCTGCTCAAGCTGTTGCATTTCAGACCCAACTCCAGAACGAGTGGAAGAAAATGAATGGATGGAAAGAATAGAATGAATGGGAGGGGATGAGATGGGAATGAATTGGGATATATGTGTATGTATGCATGTATGGATGAATGGATGGATGTTATTTTTGTATCAGAGGGTTAAGGGCACACTTTCTCTGGGTTACACATAAAATAACATGGTATTTTACTTTAAGCAGTCTTTTTTTTAAGCTTTTTTTTAAGCAGTCTGAGGGGCAGATTATTACTTCCGCTGCAGCAGAACACACAGAATGTGTTTCAATCCTTCACAATTATTGTCTTAAGGAAATCAATAGAGAAAAATTGATGCCAAAATTGTGATGAAATAGATAAAAAAGGTTTACTGTTTTAAAAAAAAAATTATATATTTGCCATATCACCCACTTCTAGTCAAGATAATACCACGAGACGTCTCGTCATTCACTTTAATCGACCGCATTTCCTGACTGAAAAGTAGGAAGTCTAGTCTTTTCCATTTATTTTAATTATACTCACTAGGATGTCTTTTCTACAATATTTTCATTTCCCCCAGAGGGGTTTGCATAAAGAAATGCAAGACTTTCTGCTCCATCTACCTCAAACACTACTTTGGCTTGGTGAGATTTATAAGCCTTTTATGAGATAAAAGTGTCAACTCTAAGGAATTCCAAAACATCACTTCTATAACCCACTGCTAAAAATAAAGTTTCATCTACAAAAGCTAAAACTGATAAAGTACTTTATTTTTCATTTAAAGAATTTCCTCAATTACCCGTTTGATCTTTTCTTTGCAGGAAGGGGACTTTTCTCATAACGGCTATTTTTGTCCTTTCAAGCCCATCCTTCGTCCCGCTTCTCGCCGCCTTCATGAACTGCTGAACCTGGTTGTGAGGAGCAAACAGAAACAACAAAGGAGCATCAGAGCAGGAGGAAAGTGCCATGCTGTGGTGACTTGATAACTTACGGGGCTCCTCCGCAGAGAGACAGAGCGAAGTGGCGCTCAGTAGGCTCATCATGAATCTCACCATCTGTGACTCCCTGTGGGTCGCTGTACAACTTCTAATCAGGGAGTGTGCAAGCGTATCTTGGAAAGACTAGAGTAAGCGAGGGAGATCCACATCAGCTGCTTGGCTCAGCGTGGGAGAATTAAGCTGACCACAAACTCCACCCTGAGCATCACAGAGGTTCTGCAACCGGACTCCACAGACCCAAAACACACCCAGAGGGGTAGTATCTTTAAACGATGCTACACCAGGAAAGTAGGTCATAAAGTGGGAGCAAGTTGAACTGATGTTTGTGGAAGGAAATACGCAGACTAATGTTCAATAATTAATGCCTTCCATAAATTTGTCTCGATACTAAAGCAGGCAGGGAAAGATGAAAATGAGCCCAACAGACAAATCAATAGTTTCCAAGCAAAGTCACTGTGCAGAGGAACAGTGAAGAAGGATGGTAAAGAGAACCAATAAAGCCGTTCTGTCAGCAGAGTGTAACAGATTGCATAATTTAGCTCATGAAGGATTATCAATCCAACAGGTAAGTAAAGGCCTAGCATGTTATTGGATTGCATAGTGCCTACCGCATTTCATGCCAGAGTTTTAAACTAAGATCATCTTATGTTGAGAAATAGAGTTGTGGCTGATTTGGTCAAACTTGAAAAATAATATTTTGGACAGATTTTCATAGAATTTCTCGTGTGATCTGTTAGAACTTGGAATATAAGTCTTGAATGTTTCTCAGCTACAATCACACTAATTTTTAGCACAATTTCTGCAAAATTCATTGATCTATAGCCAATTTTTTAATAGACTAATATCCATTGGCTGTAGAAGCCATCTGGAATGGGATGGCTCCAACAAATAATCAGTTTTAGAAGTACATCCCATGATTATTGTCAGAGTTTCATTGAAATCTGTTTAGGGGTTTATGAGATATGTTGCAAATGGACATACCAGGGTGCCGTTTGACAGAAATTGCCTAGGTTATGAGCAAAGTTATTTGTGGTGCTCATAGTATGTGTTGAGGACAATGCTCAGCTACAACCAAGGTGAGTTTCAGCTCAATATCTTTCAATCTGGCCGAGATAAAGCCATGTTTGCGTTTTCTAAGGTCAGTTGGCTGTGGTGGCCATCTTGAATTGCCCAAAATGATAATCACTTGTAAACAAAAACTATAAAATTTTATGAGTTTGTTCACTGGTTCATTAAATATTTAGCTAACAGACAGCATTCATACCATCCGTTAATGGAAACATGTTCCAGCACAGATCTTGCATGATCAATTAGCATCCAAAGTAAATGTTAGGGAGTAGTCTCAGCTACCATCATACCAATTTTTGTGTTTTTTAAGGTCAGCTGTAGCAACCATCTTGATAAGGGCTGGCTGCTAAAGTTTACCAGTAGTAGATGCACATATAATATATATTATATATATTTTTTAAGTAACATTAAACTCTGTTTAGTGTTCCATTAGAAGTTTTGTAACTGCACAGACACACACACGTTTTTATTACCTCGTGGGGATCAATGACATACTCAGGCCTTATGGGAGCCACCATTTATGAAAGGCTTATTTTTATTTTATTTTGATTGCTAAATTCATAGAAATAAATATTTAAAATAACCATGGGTTGAAATTTTGAAAACACTCCTACTGATTTGTTGACATGACATTTTGCTTCCTCCTGGGTACCACCATCATCTCCGCAAGAGCTCCATAGCCAATGCGGGGAAAAAAAAAATGTTTAAAATATTATATTAAAGAAAACAGTAAGCTGTTTCAAAAAGATATTTATTCCAAAAAAAAAATATCCCAATAGATGTAAGGCAGAAAGATCAACATTGTAAACCTGATCACATAAGAGTTGCTGTTTCACAACATATTTTTAATGTTTCACGTGAACAGCAATAAGAATTATTTACCAAACTTTTTTCAATAAAAACATTTAAAAAAATGAAGTAGACCAAACGTTCACTCATGATTTATGGAAAAAAAAATATATAGCGTTTTGTTTTATTTTTATTGTTGGCTCAAGTACATGTTCTGCTTTGTACAACATAAATATGCATGTGCGCACAGACACGCACAAAGACATGCAAAACATTATCACTCTGTGGAACAGGCAGAAAACATGTAGCTGAGGGATCTGAGCTCTGCTAAACAATGTGATATAACTGTGTTGGCTCACTGCTGTTGATATACCTTGATGTCATAGTTGTTCTTTCCAGATAACCTCAAGGCCAGTTCACGTTTGGTCCTAGCACAGCATTCCCTCAGCCGACGCACTTCAGGAGAGAGCTACAGGTGTGGCAACAGGAATGGGTCACGGTGTCGGCAAAGGTTGCATTAAGCCACAACGGCCAAAAGAAAATAAAAGGCAGGAAAGCAGGAAGAAGAAAACAGAAAACAGAAATGCAGGCAAAGTGATCAAGGGGAAAAGAAGCGGTGCAACACTGGGAATTAATCACGAGCACAGAGAGTGGAAGCTCGGAGCGCTGCCTTGGTCAAAGGGGTTATGACTAACAGCCTCTGATTTATACTGGAGCCGTTCCACAGAGTTCAGAGTAAATATTAAAAGCAAACTACTGTGGCTCAACCGGGGAAAGAACTTCAGGTATGCTCAGGGAAAAATTAATTGGGCGAAACTAATTAAAAACAATGTGTTGCTGATGAAGCCTGCACTACCGTTGCAGGACCCTAATATTCAATCTTTTATTCATTAAATGTAAAATCTTGTACACCTAAATTCTTCCTTTTGTTCACTGGTCTGAGACAAGCCTGCCAACAGAACTATGGAGTTTTTACAGCACACCTCCCCGTAATTACTTTGGCAGCTCATTTCCCGTCCCACCCCAAGAAGCTTTTTGTTACCTTTGGCCTCGTTTGTTTTTCAAAGCACTGATTCAGCTCCAGATTCTCCTGGATTACAGTGGAGTTACATATCCATAAAACACTACTTCCAACATGCAAATATATGTAAAGGTAGGTATAAATCTATACATTAATAATAACTCAGCTGCAAATTTACCGTATGCCGTCGACGGTAAAGCTACATTAAAAGCTGTCGAAGCATAAAGAAAACGGAGCCCAGTGTGAATGTGCGCACAGTGCCATCATGTGGAGGGAGCGCACTGTGGAGCAGGAAGGTGATTACCAGTGTTCTTGGCAGCAAAGAGCAGAGGATTTCTGTGGCTTTTCAAACAGAAATGTCTCGTGTTTACTTTCATCTCACAATGCGAGTATAAAACCAGACAGTCTTTTATACATTTTTCATGTCTTTTACAGCTTCCTTCCATTGCTATACATTAATAAAGAGCCTTGCACAGAAGAAACTGCAGATGAAATATTCTCCTTGATTCTTTTTTAAGTGCTAGAGATCGACCAAAACTACCTGGACTGTCAAGTTGCTATTAAAAATACACAGATATCACCTATTGTGTGAACAGCAGGCATGCACAGACAGCCTACCTTGCTTCTTGCTGGCAGCTTGGCATCATTATCAGATTGCTCATCGTAGCTCTCAAACTCACTGGAGCTCCACCCGTTGTTGGCCTCCGAAGGGCTACTGCATTTCTGAACATCCTCATAGATCATGTCTGCAAAATAAAAACATGCAACGCATCATGAGGAGCAGATGGACGGTCATGAGTGGACGAACGTCCGACGCAAATGTGATGCCGCAGCCACTGACCTTCATCAGGAGAGAGGGGTTCCTCACTGGGAACATCATCATAGATCACCTCTGAAACCTCGGCAGTCTGAGCCTCTGTGTCAGCCACACACAAAAATACACAAACAAACAAACAACAAATGGAACAATGTCACTAAAAGGGACCCGTTGCAATGTCAATGAGATCAATGAAAAAAAATCAAAGTCAGAAACAAAATCCATACTTTTATTTTTCTCATATTGATGATTAAAGTGTCTATAAAAAATATAGTAAGCAAAATTTGTGAACTACCACATGCATTTATCAATGGAAGCAGACGAAGTTACAATATTGGCAGTGTCCATGGAAGAGCTGTTTGAGATCAAGAAATCCAACAATTTAATGTATTGGTCCATTTTGATACTTAAATTTGTAGAGTGAGTGGTGTTTACTAGTTGTTGTAAGTAGTACTTGAAACACGTCAAGGAGATGCTATTTATAAGACAGATCTGGGTGCAGGCCTCAGATTGATGAAGTCTTTCAGATGAAAGACGAAACGTGTCTCCCAAAAATAAACTGTCCAGATGACATAAATGAACCCTTTGCTGTGATTTGTAGAGTAAGGTTTACAGTTAAATGTACCATACTTTGTTTTTTCCACTATGGAGTATGCTGTTTGTGGGAATTGGGTGGCTCCTCAAACTGAAGAAGTCCTTTGGATGAAGGACGATACATCTCAGCAAAAAAAGAAACCGCCCAGATGAACTGACTGAACATTGTTGGATTTTTACCTGGATTGTTGAGCATGAACTTTGGCGTACTTTGTTTACACTGAGTGTGTACCCACATTTTTGAATCCCATATCAGTAGGTTCAGAAAACCATTGGAGTACCAGTAAACTCTTTCAGACTGCACCACATGATATATAGTTGTACAGTAGTCCCTTGCTACTGGGCGGTTTGTTGATCGCGGATTCGCTCTATCGCAGTTTTTCAAAATAAGATATGATATGACACACAACTGGCTGACTGATGGATGACCTGCACGATCAGCATGGAATTTTTATTTTAAATAAATTATTTTTAATTATTTAGCACCTCCTGCTCCTCTGTGCAGCCCACACTGCAGGAAAATGCTTCCTGCTGCAGCTGATCAGCCGTGCAAAGTGAAGTGGGCGTGGCCAAGAGCGCTTGCAGGTGGCAAAGAGCAGAGGAGGCAGGGAGCTGAAATTATGACACTCTGTGCTTTTTTAGAGCATTTAGAGTTTAGAAATACTGTTTAGAATATTGCAAGAGTGTGGGAAGGGTTTAAAACGCCTATATATTTATGTATATTAAAATAAACTACTATTTACTTCTTGTACTACTATTCCTGCTTCACGGTTTTTCACTTATCGTGGGCCTTCAGGATACGGATCCCCCGTGATAAACGAGGGACTACGGTATAGTTTTAATCTCTTTGTTTCATGCACTCCCTGTTTTTAAATCATCGTCGCACTTCTCAAGAGAGAAAACACAAATTCATCCACATGTAGTTTGTCATTGTCTGAATCTGAAAGTGGAGAAGAGAAAACTTGCTACGGTTTGAATATTTAAATGTGCATGTAAAAGTCCTCCTCCTGAGGGAGATCCAGCACATCTCGTGTGTATGTTGCCTTAATGGCTTTGCCCATATGACGCAACATGATTGTATCCACCTTGTTTGAGCTATTGACCCATTCTATCTCCACGCTTGACAGGATTTGTCATTAACTGCTTTGAGAGTGTTTCAGCCTAATTTACCTCAGTGAGCTTTATTGATTTGGTTTTAAACTGTGATTTGCCGGCACACTCTTCTAAGCTCTGAACAGCAACAATCACTGTTTTTAATTAATCTTACACGAGATGCGTATTCTGTGGTGGATTACTCCGACTAAAATTCCAAATGACCTTGGAGAGGAGCTTGGAGATGGAAAAAAAAAAACAAACGTACTTCTGTTTTTCTTTTAGCAGAAGATTAGCTTCACATATTTGTTTTATGCATCTCACTTTCTTCTTAGTCGTGAAGTCAGAAATGGTGCTCCTCAAGATTGAGGCGATCAGAAGAACTATCAGAACATTTGCAAAGTGACTGATTCTCTTGGGAACACAACTTCTTTCTTTCATATGTGGTAAACAACAAGCTCTCTGGGTTTTCAAACTTTATTTCCACTTTATAGCAACGCACCGACTTGACAGTGACATTCACTGCAAGCAAACCAGAAATACACCAACATATAGATTGTATGTTAATTGTTGTAAATGGGAAAGACGGATAATCCTTTACGGATCAATGTCAGCTCATCCCAGCAGGATGTGTCATGAAGGCAGATAACTGAAGGCAAACGAGAAATAAATAAGTACTCATGGTGAACCACACAGACATGGATATGCTTGTCCATATCTTTTTCTTAAAAGAGTGAAACCCACATGTAGTTAATGAAATAACTTAAATGATAAAAGTAAGAAGAAAACATTTATTGAAAATCAACTAAAATAATCAGCTACTGCTTCTGAAATGTGGTAAAAAAAAAAAAAACTGATACAAATGATATTCCCCTTGAAAACAGTTCACCATAGGGACATGTTAAACTTAGTTTTATTATTGTTTAATTGGCATCACGGGTGTATTCTATCCAAGCAGCTTGATGTTGCCATGACTACAGATTACTCCGAAGTTTATAGGTCCACAGGACTGTAACCAACCCTGCTGGATTTGACCGCAAGAGGAAATTTGACAAATTGAAAAGACAGACAGTAGCAATGGTAACCAAGGAGTCTAAAACATTTTACAAAGACATTAGAGGTGAACTCCAAGGTTAAGGTACATCAGTGTCAGATTGCACCAGCAGACAAAAGTTAACCTTATGGAAGATGACTGAGGAAAGCTTGGTCATGGATCCTTCAACAGAATAATGACCCAAAGCACACAGAAGAATGGCTCAGAACTTATCAGTGGACTATTCTGAAGTGGCATTCTGAACCCTGATCTAAACCCTGTCGCTGTGTGAAGAAGGTGCCCTTCAAACCTGAGACAGCTGGAGCTGTTTGCTCATGACGAGTTGACCAGAACACCTGCGGACAGGTGCAGAGGTTTAATTATTATTATTTAGCACCTGCTGCTCCTTTGTGCAGCCCACATGTGCAGGGAGAGCCTCCCTCCTGCAGCAATGTGGTCATGATCTCCGCTCTGCAGAAGAGAAGTGGGCGTGGCCGAGAGCAGTGGCAGAGAGCAGTAGCAGAGAGCAATGGCAGAGAGCGCGGAGATCATGACATGCTGTGCTCTTTTAGAGCGTTTAGAGTTTAGAAACATCGTTTAGAATATTGCAAGAGTGTGGGAAGGGTTTTAAATGTCTTTATATAATATATATATAATATATATA